CATGGAGGTAAAATTTTTTTTCAAGATCATAAGGCCAGAGGATCATAACTTTAGAGTTCATAGAATCATAGCAGTAAATAAAGCACTAGGCCTGGAGTCAAGAAGACCTGAGTTCAAATCCAGCCTCAGATACTTACTTAGCTGTGTGACCCTGGGCAAGTCACTTCACCTTGTTTGCCTCAGTTTCCACATCTGTAAAATGAGCTGGAGAAGAGAATGGCAAGCCACTCCAGTATTTTTGCCAAGAAAACCCCAAAAGGGGTCAGGAAGAGTCAGACACAACTGAAAGGACCGAACAATAAGACATCATAAATTTGGAGATGGAAGGGACTTCAGAAACCATCTGGTCCAACCCTTTACAGATAGGGAAACTGAGGCCAAAAAAGGTGAATTGGCTTTTCCAGGGTGATAGGGTCATAGATTTAGAGGTCATAGGATCATCAGAAGTGCTCTCAGAGGCCATCAAGCCCAACCCTTTAGTTTTACAGATGAGGAAATTGAGGCTTAGGAAAGTCAAGTAGCTAGCCTAAGGCCAGACAGGTACCTAAGTATAAGGAGTGGGATTTGAACCCAAGTCCTTCACCTCCAGAGCCAGGGCTCTCTAGCTCATAGCATAGCCAGGATTAGAACCTGGATCATCGGTGCTCCTTCCAACCATATGTCTGTGGTGTTTTGCTGTTAACTGAGTAGTTTCAGTCGTATCTGACTCTCTGTGAGCTGGCTCATTTGCGGTTTTCTTGGCAGAAATCCTGGAGTGGTTTGCCATTTCCTTCTCCAGCTCATTTTACAGATGAGGAAACTGAGGCAGGCAGGGTTAAGTGACTTGTCCAGGGTCACACAGCTAGTAACTGTCTGAGGCCACATTTGAACTCGGGAAGATGAGTCTTCCAGACTCCAGGACTGGCACTCTGTGCACTATGGCGCCACCTAGCTGCAGCAATAAACTTGCCTACCGTAAGAAGGCACTCAAAACCTTTTGTTTAGCACAAGATAGCAGAAGTCAGCCCACGTGGGTGTTGGTCCTAGCTCTGCTGCGAGATCTTGGGCAAGTCATCCGTCTTCCCTCTGTTAGGTGCCTCGTGTGTGCCCGGCACTGGGCGTGCAGAGACAAAGATGAAACAGTTGGGGTAGCTGTAGAAGCACGCTCTCGGAGAGAAGTTCAATGATTTGCCCAAGGTCATACAGCTAGTAACTATATGAGGCAGAACTCAAACCCAGGTCTTCCTGCCTCCAAGTCTAGCCCTTCGCTTTCTGTGCCACCTCTAGACTTTCATTAGATCATGAATCTAAAACCGGAAGGGACTTTGGAAGCCAGCTCATGCAACCCCCTCATCTTATAAGTGAGGAAACTGAGGCCCAGAATGGATGAGTAACCTGTCCATAGTCACATGGGTGATAAGCATCAAATATAGGATTGGAACTCAGGTCCCCTAACTCCAGAGTCAACATTTTGGACATATGGTCTTCCCCAACCCCCAAAGAAAGTAAGCTCCATAAACTAAGGGACTGTTTTCCCTTTTGTCTTTGTGTTTCCAGCTCTAGCACAAGGCCAGGTATTCAGGAGGCACTAAATAAATGCTTACTGATGAATTGATTGATGGAGTCAATTACTGGATTACTCTGAAGGTCTCTTTCAGGTCTAAAATTCTTTTCTTTTTTCTTTTTGGTGAGGCAGTCGGGGTTAAGTGACTTGCCTAAGATCACACAACTAGTAAGTGTCAAGTGTCTGAGGCTGGATTTGAACTTGGGTCCTCCTGACTCCAAGGTCCAGAGCTCTATCTACTGTGCCACCTACCTGCCCCTTCAGATCTAATATTCTATGATTCCATACAATTTCAATGAAAACGAATTCATGTCTGAGCTGATTCATCTTCCTTTAAACTTTCCCCTACCAACCCGGAAAATACCATAGCCAAACCCAGGCACAGCCTCAGCTTTCTCTCTACCTGGCTGGTCTGTGTCTATGCAGAACTCAAAAGGGAACCTACTTTGAAGAGGAAAGAAAATGGAAGGTGGAAAAGTTCGCTGTTGGGAGCCAGCAATCTAGAAACCAGTCCTTCCAGTTTTAACCCCACAGCTGCTGCAGACTATCGGCTCAACCGGAAGCAAAGGGGAATGGGAGCAGGGTGACAGGTCTGTTCTTATTCCCCTCCTGCAGGTTGCTTTGGAAGCTGGACAGGCCGGCCAAACTGGGTTAAGGGATTGGAAGACACTAGCTGACCCTCATGGATGAACTCCTGGATTCCAGACTGCCAGATTCACTCCCTAGGGTCATCAGTAGGACTTCTTCTGTCCAGCTGTTTCCCAGGCTGGTCCGCAGCACTCGATACCCTTTGGGAGTCAGAGGGAGAACAGAGTCTCCCTGTTTCTTGCTTCCCCTACCCAGAGACACATTGAACCTGAATTTCCTGCCGGGCTCATCTCAAGCATCGCCTTCTACACAAGGTCTTTTCTGCTTCCCCTACTCAATTGTCAGTCCCCTCCTCACCTCTTCTCCCTCATCCCTAACATTACAGGAAGCAACTGGATGGAAGATAGGCATACAGCTCTGGACTTGGAGTAAAGAAGACCTCGGTTCAAATCCTGCCTCAGACGTTGTTCATCCTTCGTCCTCAAAGAGGACCACTGACATCAGGGGTGATGTCTTGAATTGATTTAAGTGCAGTCTTCAGCCTCACTCTCTCTTCGTAAGTCAACGAAGTCCAGGGACAGGACAAGAGTCAAGAAGATGAAGAGGAAGTGCTTGGTCAAGCATCTGGTTTCAGCCACCTTCATGGCCTTTGGAATAAATTGTTCTCATCCGCCCATTCCTCAGGGAAAGTCTTCACATACTTGGGATAGACCTCTCCCTAACTCGCCAATGGTTACCCTCACCCTGCTTCAGCTCGTCTGCCAGGATAGTTTACTGAAGTGTGGCCACTGCTCATGCCACAGCTTCTTAGACCCGCAGGTGAGAGCTGGGTGACAGATGGACGTGGAAGATGGAGAAGCAGCCTGACAAGGGCTTGGCAAGTCCTCCCACTGGGGGTGATCGTCTTTCCTGAACAGCCCATGCGCCTCCCCTCAGTCATTTAGTAGCTGTGTCACCCCCGACAAGTCGTTTACCCTCAGTTACTCCATTTGTGAAATGGGGATAATCATAGCACTCCCCTCACCGAGCTGTTGTGAGGATCAAATGAGGTATGTGTGAAATGCTTTGAAAACCTTAAATCGCTACATGATGTGAGCTGCTCTTATTACATGGTAATTACTTATCTCCATCTGCGCTGTTTCCCCATGATAGACCAGTAAGCCACTTGAGGGCAGGCAGGCACTGTTTCCTTTCTGTCTTTAAATCCTCAGCTCCTACCTAGCACACTGCCTGGCTCCGAGTACACACTTCATAAGCACCTTTTTGAATGAATGAACCCACAGGCATAAAGCCAGTGAACGTGCAAAAACAACAACAACAAAAAAAAACCAAACCAGATGATCAATTAGGCAGCACAGATGTCTCCGAGGCACTGATTGAGACAGGAAGCTTCACTACCAAGAACTTCCAGGTGAACCATATCATATAATCCTCATTTTTCATCTCTAAGCACTTGGGCCTCTGCACCTGCTCTGGAGTCCATGCTCTGATTGTGCTGAAAAGGCCACCTGCCCTGGGAGCCCCTTTAACTAGGCTAACTTCACCTCTCATCCTGTTTCTAACAACACCTTTCTCATCCTAATTCTCAGCAAAACAACACCGCTCCAGAGGAAACAAAAAGCGTAAGTGTGTTCCGATTTAGATTTCTCTTTCCCCAAAAGGATTCTGAGAAGCAGCATGGGTGTAGAGGGTAGAGAGCTGGTTTTGAAGCCAGGAAGTCCTCGGTTCAAATCTCCCCACGGGCACACACTGGCTGTGACCTCTTGGTGTTCCAAGAAGCCGCTCTATAACTCAAAGGTGCTGACCTACCTTGATAAAAGGAATTTTCTCAACTTCCAGTTTCCTAACCAAAGAAATCCCAGATCAATTAGTTAATCAATGAGCAGTTATTAGCTGCTTGTTAGGTGCTAGGGATATATGTGTGAAGAATAAAAAAATCCCTGTTGAAAAGAGCTTACATTTTAACGGAGGAGATGACAAAAAACGTGAGGTGAAAATAAAACCCGTATAAGGTAGTAGTTAGCAGCTGGGAGGACTCAGGAAAGGCTTCATGCAAAAAATGATGCTAACAGGAGCATAAGAGCTAGAGGTGGACCACGGAAACCATCAGGTCCTATCTTCTGGTTTCATAGACAAGTGCTGGACCTGAATTCCAACCCAGCCTCAGATGTTTACTTGCTGCATGACTCTGGGCAAGTCACTTAACATTGTCTGCCTCAGTTTCCTCAACTGTAAAACAGGGATAATATTAGCACCTAACTCCCAGGGTTGCCATGAGGATCAAAAGAGGTAATATTTGTAAAGCATTTTAGAAATCTTCAAGTGCTGTCTAAATGCCAGCTATTATTATTAATGTAGCAACTGAGGCCCTGAGAAGTATAAGTGACCTGCTCAAGGTCACACAAGGAAGCAAGGATCAGATGGAGAAGTTGGTCCCCAGATCTTTTCACTCCAGAACCAGTGTTTTGTTTTGCTTTGTTTTGTTTTTTCATTGTCCCAGACTGGGTCCTCCCAGCTTGCCTACCCTGAGAAGCTAGTTTCCATAGGCTGTGCTTGGATGATTCTGGAAACTGCAGACTTTTCTGTGTTAACCACTGTGCTGATCCATAAATCATAAACTGCTGCTGAAGCCACCCAGCCTTTGTTAACCCAGGAGCGGAGCTTTTTTGTTTTTGTTTTTGAAGTGTTTACACATTGTCAAGGAAATAGGCAGGCAGAAAAGCATTGTTTATAGTCAGCTTTACTTGTCATTCTATGTCACTTAAATAAAAGGGACTCAGTCTTAGGGAAGGGTGGAAGCCAAACCAGGCCTCAAGCCTCCCAGGGTCCCTGCTTTACCCATGAAATCTATTCATCTACACTTATTTACCTGGTCTTTGAAGGAGAAAGCTGCTCAAGACGAGCTCCTCCCTCTTCAATTGATCTGACAGGCTCCTGAGCCTCAGAGGAATCCTTCGGAGACTGTGAAAAGGAGAGAGGAGAGTTCCAGGCAGCTAACACTGAACCAATAAAATGCACCACTGGCAAAATTATAACCAGGATTGCTTTGCTCCCTCAGCTTTTTGATGTGTGAAGAGAATGACCAGACTCCACCCCAAAGAAGAGAGGAGAAAATGAAGGGGCAGCTCTGCGGCACAGGGGACTGAGTACCAGCCCTGCAGTCAGGAGGCCCTGCGTTCAAATCCTGCCTCAGACACTTACCAGCTGTGTGCCTCTACAAAGAGAAAATGTAATCCTCCCTTCTTGGAAGATGATGGGTAAGGAATGTCAAGAATACTGTCAGGCCCAGGTGATGGGTTGGTTAGTTTTGCTGAACTCTTCCTCGCTCGCTCCCTCCCCTCTTTCTTTTTCACTCTTTGTTGAAAAGGCATGGCTCAATAGGGAAGAAATAACGAAGCTATTAAAAAAGATTTCAATAAGAATTGAAACCCAAAAAGCAAGCACCAAATCTTCTTCAAGGGACACAGTTCCTCAAATTCCGAGGTGCCTGAGAGCTCAGCCTGCCGGGCCCCTCCGTGCTGCTAGTGCCATTCAGGGTCCCCTTCTCTGATCCGTCACCAACAGTGCGCCCCGGTGGCATGCTTTCACTGCCACTCCTGCTGGGCGGCCTAATAGCACCCTGACCACAAGGGTCAACAACACAGACGGGAGAAATCCCACCACCTTCCACAAGGCGAAGGTCTTGGAAAACGGCCTCCTCTCCCTGGGCAGGCCTCTGGATCTCTCATGGTTTGGCTATTTGGGGTGCTAGCACCCTTCACAAGGCCCATGAGCTTGCAGTCACCCAGGAATCACACCTGACTCTTGAGCTGCTATTCATAAGGCTTTCCCAGCCCCCATTACCGATGGTGAAAATGTTCAGCATTGACCTGCTGTGTCTTTTCGTGTGTGTGTGTGTGTGTGTGTGTGTGTTGGGGGGTACCCTGAAGGCAGGGACTTCTTAGCTCAGAATATGTCACATGGTACAGAGGAAAGAGAACTGGATTTTGAGTCAGAGGACCAGGCTTTGCGGCTCATGGATTCAGCAGCGGAAGGGACCTTTCAGGTCATCTCATCGAACCCCATCCTCATTTGATAGTTGATTAGAAAGGCTCAGTGACTGCTTATAGTCACACAGGTAGAAACTGGCAGGGCCAGCATTTGAACCTGCATGTTTTGCTTCTACACCATATTGCCTACATCCTGTCCTGCTCTTCGGTAATCTTGGGCAAGTCACTTAATCTAGGCAACTGGGGGCAGTAGGTGGTGCAGCTGGGCCTGGAGTCAGGAAAACCTGAGTTCAAATCTGCCCTCAGACACCTACTAGTTTTGGGACCCTGGACAAGTCGCTTCACCCTGTTTGCCTCAGTTTCTTCATCTGTAAAATAAGGCTAATAGAAACTACCTCTCAGAGTTCTTGTGAGGATTGAATGAGACGTTTGTAAAGTGCTTAACAAAGTACTTGGTATACGGTAGGTGTTTAATAAGTACTGGTTTCCTTCCTTCCTTTCTGGGCCTCAGCTTCCTCATCTGTAAAATGAGGGCTTAGGCTAGCTGATCTCTAAGGTACTTTTTAACTCTAAATCCTCAGATTCCATTTATAATCAGCTGCCCATTAGGCTGTCATTCTGTTTATTTTTCAGGTTGTGCCCAAGGTCCTCTCCCGGGCCAGCAGAGCTCAGCGGCATTCCAACCAGTCTGACAACATAACGAGCTTGAGAGTCTGCACTAGGCCCTGTTCTGACACATTGTTGAGAATGACACTGTCTGTAGTTGCAGGATTTATTAAAGCCTCTTGGCGCCTTAGGGGAAGGACCTTCTGCTCTCTACCTGCCTCCTCCCCATCCTTAACAATGTCTTTCCTGTCCTTGCTTCCTGGCATGACTCTTTCCCTGCCTGTCTGCTCTCTCTGCTTGGCACTGCCCTCCCATGGCTGTTCCTTCCCCTGCTGGTGGGTCCTGTCCAGCAGCCATTCTGCCCATCTGCTCTCCACCTGATGCCTGGCACTCCACAGCTACTGCTGCTTGGTCTACCTGCTGGTATCCAGCAGTTCCCCAGTGGCTGCCCGGCCTCGTATGCTTGGAATTGGCATTTCATCTGCCCAGAGAGAAAATCCCCTGGGTGGGAGTCACCTTCCAAGAGTCAGCATGCTGGAAGTACCCTCGCTCCCTGGGCGTTTCCTTCATTGTGGGGCCAGAAGCCTTGCGTCACAGACATCATAGCTGGGGACCTGCCTGCCTTGGTATGAGGGGGAGAGATGTGTTTCTGAGCTCCCTTTCTCAGCAGCTATTCCACACCTGGAATCATAGGAGTACTGAGTTATAGCTGGACAGGAAAATAGAAGCCATCTAGGCAGCTGGGTAGTGGGTAGAGGCTTGGAAATGGAGATGGGACGGCCTAATCTTAAACCCTGCCCCAGATGCTTCCTAGAGGTTGGGCAAGTCATTTGATTCCTCTCACCTCAGCTTCCTCATCTGTAAAACAGTTTATGAGGGCCCCTAGCCCACGGGATTATGTGAAGAGCAAATGAGATACCATGTAAAGTACTTTGCCAACCTTAAATGCTCTAATAATGTTTGTTACTACTGTTACCGCATCTAACTCCTTCATTTTACAAAGAAGGAAAGTGAGGTACAGAGATGAGATGGCGATTTACCCAAAGCCACACTGGTAGTGAGGAGTAGATGTTTGAAAGGTTTCAACTTGGTTTGTATCTTTGCGGTGCGACCATTGACACACGTATGTGAACTAGAACTTGGAAGGCATCACGCTTCCCTTTGGCTTCCTCAACACTGACCTCTCCTGGGTCTCCTCTTACGTGTCTGACCAATCCTCATCTTCCTTCGATGGATTATCAGCCAATTCCCATCCCCTTAGCCTGGGTGGCTCTTAGGACCTCTTCTTTTCTTACTCTCTCTCCTTCAGTGAGCTTATTCTTCAATGAGCTCTAGTGTTTTCAGTATGGAGAATGATTTGTGGGTCTATACCTCTAGCCTTTGCTTCTCTCCTAAGCTCGAGGTCTACAATACCTGCTGGACATCTCCTCCTGCACGTCTTGTAGGTATCTCAAACTCAATAAATCTAAAAATCTACCAACATAGATTAGCATCTTCTATGCATTGTATGGTCTTAGAGAATTGCCTAGAGCCCTGAGAAGTCAAGTGACTTGTCCAGGGTCACACAGCCAGTCTATATCAAAAGTAGGACTTGAAAGTAGGTCTTTCTGGCTCTAAAGAGAAATCTCTAGGGGAGACAGCACTAGCTAGGGGGATCAGGGAGTATTTAATGAAGAAGATGGCACTTGAGCAGAGTAAAGATAGACCAGGATTTTAAGATGTGGAACTAGGGAGGGAGCACCTTCTAGGCATGGGAGATAACTTCTGTAAATTCACAGAGAAGATGGATGGTCAAGTTCAGGGAAATAACGGTAGTCTACTTGGGTTGGAATATTGACTTTGGTAAAGAGAGCAACTGGGTGGTACAGTAGATAGAGCGCCAGGCCAGGAGTCAGGAAGACTTATCTTCTTGAGCTCAAATCTGGCCTCAGACACTTACTAGCTGTGTGACCGTGGGCAAGTCACTTAACCCTGCCTGCCTCAGTCTCCTCATCTGTCAAATGAGCTGGAGAAGGAAAGGGCAAACTATTCCGCTATCTCTGCCAAGAAAACCCCAAATGGAGTCACAAAGAGTCAGATATGACTGAAAGGACTAAACAGCAGTGTTGGTAGAGGAGATTCCCTCAGCCATGAGTTCCCTATACCCATGAAATCATGGGTCCAGCTCCCTATTCAATGCTTATTTTTGAACTTAGGATCACAGATTTAGTTCTGGAAGGGATGTTACCCCCTCATTTAATAGATGAGGAAACTGGGAGAAGTGAAAGTACTTACCCAAGGCCATGCAGCCAGTAAGTGGCAGAGCTTCGATTTGAACCTAGGTCCTTGGACTCCAAACCCACAACTTTCCACAGTAGCATGCTGCCGGTGTTGTTTCTCCCTTCCCCTCCCCTAAGGTACAGAGGCCCTGAGGACAGTTTTGTCTTTATCTTTTTCCAAACTTAGCCCAGTGCCTGGCCCATATTAAGTGCTTAATAAATGCTCATTGAATTGAATTGACTCATCCCTTCCAGCCCCCTCATTTTATAACGAAGAAATTGAGACTCAGAGATGGTGACAATGCCACAAAATGAGTTATTGGCATATATGGCCAGAAATAGAATTCAGGTCTCCTTCCAGTTCACTAAGGTTGCCTCTCCTGAATTGATGACGCCCTTTCGGTCCTCTTTGAGTATGAAGGAGCCTCCCAAAGAACTTGGAAAGGACCTATCTGACCAGAGGAGTCCACACAGGCCCTGATTCCCATTCTAGTGTGACATCCTGCCCCTGCCAAAACTTTAGCAGATGGAAATAAGGATTTCTAACGTGAGCCTGGCTCATCACGACCAGACAGCTCCATAGACCTGGCACAACACTTCTGCGGTATCATAACCTTCTTCCAAACTGGGAAAATGGACACCAGGGCTCACTGGCATTGCTGGAAAAAGCCCTCTTTGCCAAAGTGGACTCTTGCCTAATTCTGGCTGTTACGGGCGTCAGTCATCCAGATTTTTTATGCCTCTAAGCTTAGCACAGTGCCTGGCACATAGTAGGTGCTTGTAATATGCTTATAGTCTGACTGATTGACTGATAGACTCCCCAAGGCCTTTTTCTAGGACCACAGTATAGGAGGCGAGGGGAGGTGAATATCCTACCAGGAAAAACCGATCTCACCCGCCAAGTCCAGATCTCCCATGATGATCCCAAGGAGTGCTGGACTTGGATTCAGGGCACCTAGGTTAGAAGCCTGGCTCTGATAACTCATGGTCATAGGATCTTGGATAGAACTGGCATTGGAAATCAACAATATAACTCCCTCATTTCACAGATGAGGATACAGCTCCAGAGAAGTTAAATGACATGGGTAGAATCACAAAGCTAATACAGGACAGGGGCTTAAAACTCAGGTCTTTAGCTTTTTCAAGCACAGGTCTGACCATATTTGCTCCCTTTCCTTTCCAACTCAGTAAATCCCAGTTGAAATTAAATGCAAATTTCTTTGTTTGGTATTCTAGATCAGGGGTGGGGAACCTGAAGCCTCAAGGCTGTATGGGGCCCTCTAGGTCCTCAAGTGTGGCCTTGGACTGTAAAACTTGGACTTAGTCAAAGGGCTGCACCCAAAGGCCACACGGCCCCAGGCTCCCCAGCCCAGTAGATCTTCACAATCTGGCCCCGCCCTACCTTTCTTGCATTAACACACATCACTGTCCTCCCTGAACACTGAGATCTGGCCAAATTGACTACCTTGCTGTGCCTCACACACAACATTCCATCTCTGTCTCTGTGTCTTCACCCAGACCCCATGCTAGAAATGAACTGCTTCCCCATCTCTGCCTTGAAGACTCCTCACTTTCCATCAAAGCTCCACACAAAAGCTACCTCCTAAATGAGGCTTTCTCTATCACCCCAGCAGCTAGTGAGTCCCACCCCCCCAAATTATCTCGTAATTATTTCATAGATTCTTTTATGTGTCCATGTTGTTTTCCCTATGGAAGGTAAGCTCTTTCAGTTCAGAGACTACATGAATGAAAATTCATGCAGCTGAATCACCTTTTATTGGTACTTTATAAATGTCTGATGATTAAATGGCTAATCCATAGCCAAACAGTTTTTTAAGCACCTATTTTGGATTGTAAGCAAGTTGTTTTGCCACTCAGTTCCCCAGTCTCCTCATCTGTAAAACTGGAATGAATTTGTCCTATCTACTTCATAGGCTTGTCACACAAAAAAAGTACTTTGTAAACTATAGAGTACTATGAATGAATGAATGAATGAATGAATGAATGAATGAATGAATGAATGAAAAACATTTATTAAACAGTTACTTTGTGCCAAGCCTTGTGCTAAGTCCTGGAATACAAAGAGAAAAGCAAGATTGATCCTGCCCTCTGGGAGCTTATATCCTAAACCATCATAAGCACTAGAACCCTGGTTCTGGATCCTATCCCTGGAGTTCTCAGGCTGAGCTGAGGAGCCAACGTCCCCGGCAAGTTTCCCTGGCCCTTAGTGGCAGGATGTGTGGATGCTAAGCAAGAACACTGTACCCAGGTATTTTAGACCCAGGACAGATAATGATGATGACTGCATTGCTATAGCTAGCCTCACTCCTCTGCTGAGCTCCAAACACTTTGTAAACATGAGCTCATTGGTGCTTACAAAACCCCTGGGAGAATGGAGGGTCATTAACACAACGTCAGAGACCAAGCCAGAGGCACAGACACGGATGGGATATGCTCAAATTCCCACTGCAGTGTGCACTAGAACCCAGGTATCCAGCCTCCCAGCACAGCGCAATATTAACTAGGTCAAGCTGCCTCCCTTGCGTATCCCAGCAGGCTCAGGATTGAGGGAGAAATACTTTTCTCCAGAGAGGGACAGACAGAGACCTATCAGGGAGGGGGAAATGCTTTACCTGCCCCAAAGGGGAGCATTTCTATAAAGGGACCAGGTGCTGCCGTCTTTGGCATAGCAGGAGCAAGAAATCTAGCCCAAGAAAAATGGGAACCAGCTTTTATCCCCCGGAATTCTCTGGCTCCTGCCTGGTTTCCAAGATGCTACAAAGGTCTCTTTAATCATAGAATATTAGCATCAGGAGAGATTTTCAGGGTCATACAGTGATTTGTAGCCCCTGAGTTTCACAAGGGAGGAAGCTGAGGCCAAAAGTGGTTAAGTGACTCGCCCAAGGTCACAAAACCAGCTCAGGGAAGAATCAGAGTAGAATCCTGACCCCTATTCTCTTCCAGGCTCTTTGCATTATCTTGCTTTTGTATTTCTATCCCAGGGTTTAGCACGATGTTTGGTACTTTTTAAGTCCATTCATTAGCCAATTAATCACCAAGCATTTATTAAGTACTGATTATGGGCCTGGCATTCCAGATACAACAGCATAAATGAAATAGACTCTGAACTGAAAGAGCTTACATTCTATAAGGAAAACCACATGGCCATACAAGTGTTTACTGAACGCCTTTCACGGTGCACCTCAACCAGTAGACCCTACCTAGTGCCTTTTCAGTTCCCAAACACCTGGACACTTGGGGGAGCGCTCAACTTCCCTTGAATCCTACCACTCACCCCAAGGCTGGGGGCTGGGAACAAATCCCCATCCCAACTCAGGGACCCACCCACAGGTATGGGAAGGCTGAAGCCACTGGGACTGGTGGCTTTCAAGGGTTAAGAGGGCTCTGTCAGATCTTGCCCTTTCAAGTTTAGGACTGAGAGGCCAATTCTGATTGGCCGAGGTTTAAACCCAAGCTTGGCGAGGGAGTGGCAGGGAGCCAAGTGAATGTAGTAGCTGAGTCCAAGCTCCGGAGTCCAGGATCCTTCAGGGATCTCTCTCTCTCTCTCTCTCTCTCTCTCTCTCTCTCTCTCTCTCTCTCTCTCTCTCTCTCTCTCTCTCTAATCTCTCCAGAAGGGCTTTTCTTCCTAGACTAGATGTGGAGGAGGCTGGACCACTGTGACTTCTGCCATGCCAGGTTCCTGGAGGAAAGCTTACCTGGGACACTGTCCGGTCGGGTTCTCTTGGCTCCTTCCTTTCTCAGCAGCTGGGGCTCTTACAGCTCTCTGTCTGCAGGCTGCTGCATGTCTACAACCCAGGAAACAGCCCTCCCTTCAGGCAAAAGAAAAAGAAAAAAAAAAGAATCTCAGTCCTTTCCTTTCTCAGCTTCTTTCTAAAGCTCCTGGTTTGCTGTCATCCTGCTTCCATATGCATATCCTCCCTCCAGCTGCTTACTCACCGGCACTAGTTTTCTGCCAGCTGCTGTGGAGGAGGGCAGGAAGGGGATTGGCGCCCCCTCTCTCCCTGGCACATGCCGGGGTAGCTACCTTGGGGGCTGAATACTCTGACAGCAGGTAGAGGGCAGAAAGTTTGCTCACTGCTAGACCTAATAAAGTTCTGAGCTCTTACTCTCAGGTGAGAATGTTGGCTCCCTAGCTGGGGGATATAGTAAGTGAGAGGTGCTCCTTGGGACTCCAGTGATTGCATGATGCTGGTGTGACTGATGAGAGGATAAGATTAGATGCTGACTGACAGTTAGGGAGTCAAGATTCCAGGTGAGAAAATGTGTTGTTTTTTTCAGGTGCCTTAGACTGCATGTGTCCAGTGAAAGTACCTAGTGCACTGTTTGCCCCTGTGAGGAGCATACCATGGGGCCTCCCACATTAATGCTCCTAGCTGGAAAAACGCTGTCCTGAGCCTCTGTAAACTTGAGAACGGTTCAATGGCCCTTTAGACCCAGAATGAGGCTGGGCCCTGGGAAGGCAGGAGGTTGGGGTTTTTGGTTTGCGTTTTTTTCTCTATAATACTGACCAAGTCTAGTGCAGCACAGTGGAAAGAGCAGGCTTTGGGGTGAGATGTTGTTACTGTTGTTTAGTCGTGACCCCATTGAGGTTTTCTTGGCAAAGGTGCTGGTGAGATTTGTCATTTCTTTCTTGTTCATTTTACAGATGAGGAAACTGAGGCAAACAGGGTTAAGTGAATTGCCCAGGGTCACACAGTTTCTGAGGCTGAATTTCAACTCAGGTCATCCTGACTCCAGGCTTGGCACTCTATCCACTGTGCCACCTAGCTGCCCTGGAGTGAGATGGTCCAGGTTCAAATTCTGCCTTCTTGTGCAGTTTTAGCCAAGTGTCAGCTTCCGTGGGTCTCAGTTTCCTCCTCTGTAAAATAAGGAAGTTGATTTAGATGATCACTAAGGTCCCCTAAGAGAGGTAGCATGGAGTGTTGGATAGGGTACTGGAATTAATATTCAGATAGACCTGGGTTCAAATCCCATCGCAGACATTTAATAGCTGTGTGACCACAGGCAAGTCATTTAATTTCTTGATGCTCTGTAAAATAAGGAGGTTGGATTCAAGGGCCTCTAAGGTCCCCTCCAGCTCTAAATCTAATTCCGTCATCCATTATCTTTCTAGCTTTAAATTCAGTGACCCTGTAATCTTGGTAGAAGCTATCCACCCAGCAGCCATACTGGCCTCTTACCTTGCCTTCCACTGTTAAGTCCCAGAGACCTGTGATATCCCAATGTTTATTGGGGTCCCCATGGAGGACCCCATTATTTCACCTGAGCAACCTGCTGCCCTCAGCAATTCCCCACACCTGCCTAGACCAGGCCAAGATAGTCTAGACAAATGATTCTTATAATATTAGTTGGCATTTATGTAGCACTTTAAAGTTTTACAAAGATATATATATAGATATGGATTGATAGATATGGATCTCTCTCTCTCTCTCTCTCTCTCTCTCTCTCTCTCTCTCCCCCTTCTCTCCTGTCTTTATATGTGTGTATCCACATCCCACTCCCCACCCCCACCCTCCAGAAATGGGTGCTCTCTTCTCACACCCCAGGTTGTTATGAGGGTATATTTATATATCCTCACATGTATATATCTACCCATTTTACAGATAGAGACTGGAGCTCCGGGTAGTTGACTTGACCATGGCCATATAGCAAGTTTGTAACCGAGGCAGTTTTCAAATCTGAGTCTTCCTGACTAAGCCCAGCACCCTATACCCAATGCCACACTGCCTCTCTCCATAGAATCTGGTTCATAGGAGAAACAGCCCGTCAGAAAAAGAGTGAAACCTCCTGAGCTCCTTGCCAGATCGGGTGGAGATTGTCCTGCTTTTCCCAGAATTAGAATTAATGAAATCCACACACCCCGCCCCCTCCCCTTCTTCCGGCAGCTTTCAAAAGGACAGAAAGAAAGTCACCATACCTGCTTGTTCTCCTCTGACCAGAGACACCTCAGGGCCACACAGCACGTCAGGAACCACTGGCCCAGAAGAGCCCCACTGGTTATCGCATCCTCTTAGTACCCAAGGGGGAAGGAGGGCGGGAAGAAGGGGAGAGCTGAGATAATCGCTCCAAGTTTCCCAAGCGAAAAAATCAAATCGAATTAAGAATAAAAAACGGAGGCACATAACCTAGGCGTGAGTCAGTCCCCGTTCCCTTGCTTAGTCACCTGGATTGCATGTTAGGGATGAGAAAGAGAACGCCCTGCCCCCCACCTCCCCCCAGCCTCCCTCCTTCTCCTTCCCGCTTTTGACTTAAAAAAGGGACAGCGGCTGAAGAGCCAAGGCTCCACAAAGCCCTCGTCTCAGACATCCAAGGATCTCCAGCCGACGAAAACTGCCGCCTGCCAGAGTCCCCATCGCGGCTCTCCCCATGCTTCCCCAGAACACCCAGGCACCCTTGGCTCTCTCAATTAAATCATCGGGCTCGTTTGGGGGGCACCGAATCTTCTCCAACGTTGCTTGGCAATTTCGATATCGTCGGGAGTTGCCATGGGGAGAATGGTGATGTCATTGACACAAAAAACCCCACTGAATTTACAAATATGCCGGAGCTGGAGCTATTTATAAAAAGCCCGTGCATTTAATTAATTGATTTATTTTAAACCCCTCTCCCTTTCTTTTTTGGGGGAGGGAAGGGAGGGCTCCCTTGCCCATAGACTCCACACCCCACTCCCCACCCCCACTGCCAGCCTCCAGAAATGGGTGCTTATGGCTCACACACCTGGCTCTTTGGCGCTACCCGGTTTAGACTTCGCAGGATGCAATCCAGAGAGCTTGGCTTGAACTCCTCTCACTGGTTTATTGTGGGTTTTCCCCATGAAGTGGCAAGAGGTGGAGCTCCAGGTAGGCTGGGAATCAGGTAGTCTGGGGTTCTATTCTCAGCTCTATCAAGGATGAGAAACTGGTCACTCCGCCCCTCTGTTTCTGAATTCATGGATCAGGACACATGTGATAAAAGTGCCCTGAGACCCTTAACTGGAAAGTGAGTAACCTCTGGGCCTCAGTTTCCTCATCTGTAAAATGTACAAAAAAAATCCGTAAAATATTTCCTCCTCATAAAAAAAGGAGATAACGCTAAGATCCTTTCTAGCTCTATGACCCTAAATGTACATAGTCTGTATTTTAGAAGCCAATTTCTTTACCATAGGATTGCCAGGAGGAAGTTCAGAAGCCATCATTTTATAAATGAGAAAACTGAGGCCCAGGGAGATTAAGTGACATGCCCAAAGTTACACAACATCAGAGGCAGGATTTGAACCCAGATCTTCTCACTCTAGAGTCAGTGCTCATTCCATTATGCCACAGTGCCTTCCTCTAATGACACCTTCCTTCAACATCATCCCACTCCCTAACCATAGTAGGATATCCCAACATTCTAGCTTTGGTCCTTGCTCTCTCTCTCTCTCTCTCTCTCTCTCTTTCTGTCTGTCTGTCTGTCTGTCTCTCCCTCTCTTAAAACAAAACAAAACCAACACATCATTTCTAATGGCATTACAAGAAAAAGAGTATTAGCTTTGGAGCCAGAGGACCTGGGTTCAAATGTCACCCCTGCACCTATGACTGTGTGACCTCCAGCAAGTCATTTAAACTCCCTGGCCTCAGTTTCCTGAACTGTAAAAAGAGGGAGCTGGACTAGGTGGCCATTGAAATCTCTCATAGCTCCAGATCTTCAAGCCTATGAAAATGAACCTATCATCTTCTCCCCCTCCCCCAACCCTTAAATCTTCTCCTTGAGATTTCCTCACTCTGTGGAGAGTCCCGCCATCCCCCCCGGATTGTGACTTCAGCAGCATCCTTGATTTTTCTTCTTCCTCGCCCTCATATCCAATCAGTTACCGAGTTTGGTGGATTCTGCCTCTATGCCACTTCCCGTACCCCTCCCTTCACACGGCCCCCACCTAGAGTTCAAGCTCTGATTGTCTCTCCCTTAAGCTTCTCTACTAACTTCCCAACTCATCTCTCCCACTTCTTGCCTCTTTGCCTTTTCCATGCTGTCTTCAACACAAGGGCCAAAATCATCTTCCTAATGCTCAGGTCTGACCGCGTAATTCCACCGCTGAGAAGCCTTCGGTGACTCCCCATTATTTCAAGATAAAATAGAGACTCCTCAGCCTGGCATTTAAGGTTTCCCAAAATTTGGCTTCACCCCATTCCTCTTCACATACCCTTCATGCCATGCAAGCTAAACCAATAACTATTCCCAGAACTAGACATGCCATCTCTCAGTTCCAAGCATTTGCTCAGGAGTGCAACCTTCCACCTCTCAGAATCCTTATTTTTCTCTGAAACAACTCAGGAATTGCCTCTTTCATGAAGCCTTCCTAGATCTCCATGTTGTTAGTTGGTCTTTCCCTTCCTTCTCAAATTATCTTGCATTTTCTCCTCTGCATATGTAGAATTCAAGCTGAACACCAGTAGAATGAATACAAGCTCCATGAGGTGAGGGACTGTCTGTCTTTTGTCTTTGTTGCTAAGCAGCGTGCTTTGCACATAGTAGGTGCTTCATAAGTATGTTCATTGCTGTGGGCTCCAAGAATTTCCTTTTTGTTGGTAAATCTGCACTTCCAGTCTCTGTCTCTCATTCCGGAGGCAGTAACTCCACATTTCCTGCCTGGTGGACTTTTCCATTTGGATGTTTAGCCAACTGAGAAGGCAGTGTATTTAAAATAGAACTCATCTTCCCCTCCAAAGCCAGCTCCCTTTCCCAACCTCCCCATTTCCATTATTGGCCCTTTTATTCTCCTCCTAGTTTTCAAGGCTTGAAGACTCAAAGCCATTTTGACTCCTTTTCATTTACTCCTTATATCCAAACAATCAACAACTCTGGTTGATTCTTTCTTCAAAATGTCTCTTGAATTTATTTTTCTTCATTTCTGCTGCCACTGTTCTCATCACACACATGGTCTATCCTGACTGCCTCCCAGCACTCTTCCAGTCTCTCCTCCAATCACTCCCAGGAGGAATCTCCCTAAAATAAAATTTTTATGCTTTTACTTCCCCACTTAAGATTGCACAATATTTCCCCATTGCCTATTGCACTGAATCAGAATCCCTTTACCTAGTTTTAAAGATCCTTAATGACATAAGGGGTTCCCCTTCTCCATTTTCCCCACTGGCCCACCCTTTCCTCCCCAGCCCCAGACTGACTCTCGCAAAGTTTGATGTCTAGGTCCCCCTTCTTTCTGTTCTGTCTTCTCCAACCACCACATTCCTACATCCATTGCGGCCCACTCCCCTCTATCCTGCCTCCTGGGATTAGGGGAGATGAGAGGTCAGAGACTGCAGGGGCTTAGGCTGAGCTCTCTAGAGAACAGGTTTCTATATCTTTGGGGCAAAACTGCCCTTCCTTGGCAGCTAGCTTTTTGCATCATGCTCGGCAAGTGGCTCCCTGATTCCTTTATCATATCCAAACACAAATAACATTGAAAAATACATACATATACACACACACACACACGTATATGTATGTATGCATGTATTTCATTAGTTGTTCCATACAGCTGCATTTAATATTTCTTTCATAGCCCAAGGCACTTTTTGCAAAGCTAGGGATAGGGAGGATGTTGCTAACATTTACTGACTGGTCAATTGACAGGACCCAATCCACTGCTGCTTGGTTCTGCCCTCCCCTCTAGAGACAAAATATTTCCTCCATGGTGGAGGCAGGGGGTGGAAAGGAGGAAGTGGACGTTTTAGTTATAGTTGAAATAAATCTCTTTTGATTTTACCCAGTGAAATGAATTCAAATCTTCACAAATAATCAACAAGCATTTATTATGTACCTACTGTGCGCCAGACAGTGTTCTAGACCTTGAGGATGCAAATACAATAAATTGGACAGTCCCTACTCATAAGAAGCTCACATTAACAAGATATATAAGAAGATACAATGGAGGGAACAAGGACATATGTAAATATATATACAATAAATATAAAGATAACAAAACACAAAGAAATACTAGATCCCCAAAGTATTTATATAAACACTACTGAGCTTTTTGCCCTGGTCTATTGCTGTAATAACAATAATAACTAGAATTTATATAGCCCTTTAAGGCTTGCAAAGCCTTTTACAAATATTCTCTCTTTAATGTGATGTGTTGTCTTTGGAATCTTAGATGAATAAGTTTACTATACTAACCAATGTGAGGCCAGTGGATCACAGTGGAAAAAGTCCTGGATTTGATGTCAGGGGACTTGGGTTCAAATCATTGCCTTGCCACTTATTAGCAATATGAGCAAAGCCAAGGATCTAACCCAAGCCTTCTGACTGCAAATCTATGGGCATGGGGATCTTTTCTTTCTTTTTAAAAAATAAATGTTTATTGATATCTTTTTTTACATTGCATAATTTCCTCCTCTCTCTCCTCTCCATTCCAAAGAGTCATTTTTTGTAACAAATATTTTGTTAAGAAAAAGAAGAAAAAAATTAGCAAAAATGAGCAATACAAAGACAAACATCTGACAGTGTATGCAATGATCCATACCCATGTACCTCCACCTCTGCTAAGGAGTAGTGGTGAGGTGTCCTTTAAATCTCTTCTTTGGGGCCATGCTTGTTCTTTGTAATTTTGACCATTCATTTTCATTTTTTCATTTTTTATTTTATGACCATTCATTTTCTTTTTTTTCCTTTTTAGGCAATTGGGGTTAAGTGACTTGCCCAAGGTCACATAGCTAGTAAGTGTCAACTGTTTGGTCTGAGGCCAGATTTGAACTCAGGTCCTCCTAACTTCAGGGCCAGTGCTCTATCCACTGCCCCGACCATTCATTTTCAATAAGCTCTTTTTTTACTGTCGCCCAAGTATTGGCATTTGCCACAAAGCATATGTGATACATGCGCTTTGTAGCAAAGAAAGGACATCCAGGTCTCTGGTGCACGTTAAAAGAGTCACTTCTTACCCTTTGACCCAGCAATAGCACTTCTAGGGTTGTATCCCAAAGAGATCATACAAATGGGAAAAGGAAACACACGTACAAAAATATTTATAGCAGCTTTTTTTTGTGGTGGCAAAGAACTGGAAATTGAGAGGATGCCCATTAATTGGGCAATGGCTGAGCAAATTATGGTATATGAATGTAATGGAATACCATTGTGCTATAAGAAATGATGAACAGGCAGACTTTAGAAAAAGCTGGAAAGACTTGTATGGTCTGATGCTGAGTGAAATGAGCAGAACCAAGAGAACGTTGTACACAATAACAGCCACATTGTGCGATGACTAATATTGATAAACTTAACCCTTCTCAGTAATGCAAGGATCTAAGACATCTCCAAAGGCCTCATGTTGGAAAATGCTATCCACATCCAAAGAAAGAACTATGGAGTTTGAATGCAGATCGAAACATACTATGTGCTATTTTTTTTCTTCTGTTGTGTTTTGTTTCCTCTTTCTGGTGGTTCCTCCTAATTCTTCCTTACAACATGACTAATGTGGAAATGTGTTTAATAGGAATGTACATGTATAGCCTATATCAGATTCTGTGCTGTCTTGGGGAGGGAGGGGGAGAAGGAGGGGGAGAAAAATTTAAGACTCAAAAACTTATAGAAGTGGTGGTCGATAAATCAAAATAAATTAAATAAATAAATGAGTCACTTCTTAGGTCACAAGGGTCAGATTCTCAAAGCAGTACCTATTTTTGTCTCCATTCAGT